CCATACCTACTGTGAAGCATGGGGGTGGAAACATCATGCTTTGGGGCTGTTTTTTCTGCAAAGGGACCAGGACGACTGATCCGTGTAAAGGAAAGAATGAATGGGGCCATGTATCGTGAGATTTTGTGTGAAAACCTCCTTCCATCAGCAAGGGCATTGAAGATGAAACGTGGCTGGGTATTTCAGCATGACAATGATCCCAAACACACCGCCCGGGGCAACGAAGGAGTGGCTTCGTAAGAAGCATTTCAAGGTCCTGGAGTGGCCTAGCCAGTCTCCAGATCTCAACCCCATAGAAATTATTTGGAGGGAGTTGAAAGTCTGTGTTGCCCAGCGACAGCCCCAAAACATCACTGCTCTAGAGGAGATCTGCATGGAGGAATGGGCCAAAATACCAGCAACAGTGTGTGAAAACCTTGTGAAGACTTACAGAAAACGTTTGACCTGTGTCATTGCCAACAAAGGGTATATAACAAAGTATTGAGAAACTTTTGTTATTGACCAAATACTTATTTTCCACCACAATTTGCAAATAAATTCATTAAAAATCCTACAATGTGATTTTCTGGATTTTTTTTCCTCATTTTGTCTGTCATAGTTGACGTGTACCTATGATGAAAATTACAGGCCTCTCTCATCTTTTTAAGTGGGAGAACTTGCACAATTGGTGGCTGACTGAATACTTTTTTACCCCACTGTATGTAATAAAATGAAAGCAGAATTCTCTGATACGTGTTGTGTAAGAAGGAAAAAGGCACTCATGTCAATCTGTTTTTGAGTTTAATTACACATTTCTGGGAAAATGTCAAAACGGAGCTGGAGGGCATGTTCACATGTCCTATAAGAATGGCCCCATGGCTATTTGTACTGGGTGTAGTTGAGAACAGGCCCTCGCTTACCTTAGCACAGCTCAATCTTCTTTAAAATATATTCTTTGTGGCCCGCAAATGCATTCTCCTTAACAGGATAAAAGACCAACCACCAACAATAAATCAGTGGTATTGTGAGATCTTTAAAGTATTACCACTGGAGAAAATGAGTGCTATATTTAGGAATAAGGAAGGAGATTTCTATACAATATCGGACATCTTTTTGCCAGCTCTTCCCCCTAATCTTGCAGATACCCTAAGAAGTGTCAATATAAAAATTTAATGAATTTATAGGTCAACTGGACCCTGGTCGCTTTCTTGTAGAAAATACATCTTGTTATATAGGCCCCTATACTCTGTTAGGGGTATATTACACGCTACAGCCACACATATTGCGACAGTGAAATTATTAACGGTATGTAAGGAAAATAAAAAACAATTTTAATGAAATTAATGAAAATTTAAGTCATGAAAAAGGAAGAGCAGAGAACTGAAAGGGAATGAATAATTCTTATTGTTTTTGTATGTTTTTGTTTTGTTTTGGTGTTTGTTGGTTATATTATGTTTTATGTTACCTTGCTTCATTTTGGAATTCAAATATATGTACATATGTAGAATTTGTTTATGATGTTGACCTGAAACATGGAAAATGATATACTAATAAAACATATATACAGTTGAAGTCGGAAGTTTACATACACCTTAGCCAAATACATTTAAACTCTGTTTTTCCCAATTCCTGACATTTAATCAGAGTAAAGATTCCCTGTCTTAGGTCAGTTAGGACAAACAGATCACCAACCATTTAGAATCCCACCGTACCTTCTCCGCTATGCAATCCGGTTTCCGAGCTGGTCATGGGTGCACCTCAGCCACGCTCAAGGTCCTAAACGATATTATAACCGTGATCGATAATAGACAGTACTGTGCAGCCGTCTTCATCGACCTGGCCAAGGCTTTCGACTCTGTCAACCACCGCATTCTTATTGGCAGACTAAATAGCCTTTGTTTCTCAAATGACTGCCTCGCCTGGTTCACCAACTACTTCTCAGATAGAGTTCAATGTGTCAAATCGGAGGGCCTGTTGTCTGGACCTATGGCAGTCTCTATAGGGGTGCCACAGGGTTCAATTCTTGGGCAGACTCTATTCTCTGTGTATATCAATGATGTCGCTCTTGCTGCTGGTGACTCGCAGATCCACCTCTACGCAGACGACACCATTTTGTATACATCTGGCCCGTCATTGGACACTGGGTTAACAAACCTCCAAACGAGCTTCAATGCCATACAACACTCCTTCCGTAGCCTCCAACTGCTCTTAAACACTAGTAAAACTAAATGCATGCTCTTCAATCGAACGCTGCTGGCACCCGCCCACCTGACTAGAATCACTACTCTCGACGGGTCTGACCTAGAGTATGTGGACAACTACAAATACCTAGGTGTCTGGTTAGACTGTAAACTCTCCTTCCAGACTCACATTAAGCATCTCCAATCCAAAATGAAATCTAGAATCGGCTTCCTATTTCACAACAAAGCCTCCTTCACACATGCTGCCAAACATGCCCTCGTAAAACTGACAATCCTACCGATCCTTGACTTTGGCGATGTCATTTACAAAATAGCCTCCAACACTCTACTCAGCCAATTGGATGTAGTCTATCACAGTGCCATTCGTTTTGTCACCAAAGCCCCATATACTACCCACCACTGTGACCTGTACGCTCTTGTTGGCTGGTCCTCACTACATATTCGTCGCCAAACCCACTGGCTCCAGGCCATCTATAAATCACTGCTAGGCAAATCTCCGCCTTATCTTAGCTCATTGGTCACCATAGCAACACCCACCCGTAGTATGCGCTCCAGCAGGTATATCTCACTGGTCATCCCCAAAGCCAACACCTCCTTTGGCCGCCATTCCTTCCAGTTCTCTGCTGCCAATGACTGGAACGAACTGCAAAAATCTCTGAAGCTGGAGACTCTTATCTCCCTCACTAACTTTAAGCATCAGTTGTCAGAGCACCTTACCGATCACTGCACCTGTACACAGCCCTTCTGAAATTAGCCCACTCAACTACCTCATCCCCATATTGTTATTTATTTTGCTCATTTGCACCCCAGTATCTCTATTTGCACATCATCTCTATCATTCCTGTGTTAATACTAATTGTAATTATTTTGCACTATGGCCTATTTATTGCCTTACCTCCATAACTTGCTACATTTGCACACACTGTATATATATTTTCTGTGGTATTTTTTACTTTATGATTTGTTTTACCCCATATGTAACTCTGTGTTGTTGTTTTTATCGCACTGCTTTGCTTTATCTTGGCCAGGTCACAGTTGTAAATGAGAACTTGTTCTCAACTGGCTTACCTGGTTAAATAAAGGTGAAATAAAATAAAATTAGGATCATCACTTTATTTTATGAATGTGAAATGTCGTAATAATAGTAGAGATAATTATTTATTTCAGCTTCTATTTCTTTCATCACATTCCCAGTGGGTCAGAAGTTTACATACACTCAATTAGTATTTCGTAGCATTGTCTTTAAATTGTTTAACTTGGATCAAACGTTTCGGGTAGCCTTCCACAAGCTTCCCACAATAAGTTGGGTGAATATTGGCCCATTCCTCCTGACAGAGCTGGTGCAACTGAGTCAGGTTTGTAGGCCTCCTTGCTCGCACACGCTTTTTCAGTTCTGCCCACAAATGTTCTATAGGATTGAGGTCAAGGCTTTGGGATGGCCACTCCAATACCTTGACTTTGTTGTCCTTAAGCCATTTTGCCACAACTTTGGAAGTATACTTGGGGTCATTGTCCATTTGGAAGACACATTTGCGACCAAGCTTTAACTTCCTGACTGTTGTCTTGAGATGTTGCTTCAATATATCCACATCATTTTCCTTCCTCATGATACCATCTATTTTGTGAAGTGCACCAGTCCCTCCTGCAGCAAAGCACCCCCACAGCATGATGCTGCCACCCCCGTGCTTCACGGTTGGGATGGTGTTCTTCGGCTTGCAAACCGTAGTCTGGCTTTTTTATGGCGGTTTTGGAGCAGTGGCTTCTTCCTTTCTGAGCGGCCTTTCAGGTTATGTCGATATAGGACTCGTTTTACTGTGGATATAGATACATTTGTACCTGTTTCCTCCAGCATCTTCACAAGGTCCTTTGCTGTTGTTCTGGGATTGATTTGCACTTTTCGCACCAAAGTACGTTCATCTCTAAGAGACAGAACGCGTCTCCTTCCTGAGCGGTATGACGGCTGCGTGGTCCCATGGTGTTTATACTTGCGTACTATTGTTTGTACAGATGAACGTGGTACCTTCAGGCGTTTGGAAATTGCTCCCAAGGATGAACCAGACTTGTGGAGGTCTACAATATTTTTTCTGAGGTTTTGGCTGATTTCTTTTGATTTTCCCATGATGTCAAGCAAAGAGGCACTGAGTTTGAAGGTAGGCCTTGAAATACATCCACAGGTACACCTCCAATTGACTCAAATTATGTCAATTAGCCTATCAGAAGCTTCTAAAGCCATGACATAATTTTATGGAATTTTCCATGCTGTTTATAGGCACAGTCAACTTAGTGTATGTAAACTTCTGACCCACTGGAATTGTGATACATTGAATTATAAGTGAAATTATCTGTCTGTAAACAATTGTTAGAAAAATTACTTGTGTCATGCACAAAGTAGATGTCCTAACCGACTTGCCAAAACTATAGTTTGCTAACAAGAAATGTGTGGAGTGGTTGAAAAACAAGTTTTAATGACTCCAACCTAAGTGTATGTAAACTTCCGACTTCAACTGTATATATCTAAAAGTAAACTTGGGGCTGCAAATAAAACCACCAGTGGCCCAAATTCAGCCCGTGGGCCACCAGTTGGGGAACCCTGGTATAGAGGGTGATTTGTGAAGTGAATCAATTCGCCCTCCCCCCATTCGGCGTGAACTGATTTTATTGCTGAGGATGAGAGCTTAAGGGTTCCCTCCTCTCCTAGGCCTTCTCCAGCATGGCTTTACAGCAGAATCTCTGGAGATTATGACGTCACGGCCCCTAGTTGGCGGACAGGGAATAGAATTACCCATTCAGGGATCACCGGCTAGGATTAAGTGCGGGTAGGTAGTAGTGGGTAGCAAGTGAATGATTGGGAGCCATAGGTTATTGTACATGTACTGTATGTCACGGTGAAAGAGTACTGAAGTAACTGGGGAGGAAAACTCATTTTTTGGATGGTGGGGTTTTGATGGCATCCTACTGAAGATGAAACATCAATGATGCAAGAAGTTTGGGTCCTGTGGAACTGCTCTCAGCTGGACAAGTGAGCATACTGAGTGGTAAGTCAGCTGCACTGTATAAAGTCAACAGGATTCTATCTATGAAAGTACATATTATTGCATTAGCACTTGGGATTGACAGTGTTCTGGCTTGTATTGCTATAGGCTACCATTGCATTGTGCTTGATGCAACAAGCTTTTGGTTCAATGTCATGTTTTCTTTTGGAAAAATATTAACTACTGTTGTGTTAATCAGACACGTAACCAATTTATCCTCACCTGCCAAAGAATACTTCATTAAGAAAAGTCTTTGATTGAGGAAAATTAGGATCCCATTGATAAAGACTGTAAGAGGTGCAACTAACTCTCATGTATTTTCCAGCCTGTCCAACCTTGGGCAAGACCACCAGACCAGCAAGATGAAGGTGAAATGGACCAAGTTAGGCATGGTGGTTTTCTTGCTGATATCCTTGGTCATGACGGGATGCTTTATTTGGCAGTACAGGATGCCAAAATTAAAAATCGGTAAGAGTCAAAATCTAAGTTCCCATCTCATGTGTGGTTCCATACATCCACTTATTCAAGAGCCATTCTTGAATTGTGAGTGTGTTCTAATGGGGGACCGTTGAGGTGTAGCCATTTCGCCCAAGCAGACAAAAGTACTTAGATGTGGGTTTTAACATGGAACCACTTTTGTACATGTGGCTTCCTTATCCTCTTTGGCTTAATTGCTCGTTTGCAGGGGCTGCTGGGGATTACACAAAGCTGCTGGATTACCGGGCCCTTTAACGCAGGCTTTAACACCGGGGGCGGGAGGGAGGAGGAGTACGAAGAGGGTACGAAGGTGGGGGTTCCTGTACCGGACACATACTGTACATGAGACACGTGCACAGATAGGGGTCTACCTGTGTCCTGAGCACCTTCCCCTTTGCCCTCTCACTCACCAAGTGTAACATTTTTGTTGTTGTTGTTCTGAACTCACTGTCCACAAGTCATTGTGACGTTGTCACACCCCTGAGTCAATACTTTGTAGAAGCACCTTTGGTGGCGATGAGAGCTGTTACAGAGTATTTTTGGGTAAGTCTCTAAGAGCTTTGCACACTTGGATTGTACAATACAATTCTTCAACTCTGTCAAGTTGATTGTTGAATATTGCTAGACAGACATTTTCAAGTTTTGCTATAGATTTTCAAGCCGATTTAGGTCAAAACTGTAACTAGGCTTCTCAGGAACATTCAATGTCGTCTTGGTAAGCAACTCCAGTGTAGATTTGGCCTTGTGTTTTAGGTTATTGTCCTGCTGAAAGGTGAATTAGTCTCCCAGTGTCTGGTGGAAATCAGACTGAAATCAGACTGAACCAGGTTTTCCTCTAGGATTTTGCCTGTGCTTATAGCTGTATTCCGTTTTTTTTTTACCTAAAAAAACGAGTCCTTCCCGATGACAAGCATACCCATTACATGATGCAGCCACCACCATGCTTAAAAATATGAAGAGTGGTACTCAGTAATGTATTGTGTTTGCCCCAAACATAACACTTTGTATTCAGGACAAAAAGTTAATTTCTTTGCCACATTTTTTGCAGTATTACTTAAGTGCCTTGTTGCAAACAGGATGCATGTTTTGGAATATTTTCATTTAGGTTAGTATTATGGAGAAACTACAATGTTGTTGGTCAGTTTTCTCTTATCACAGCCATTAAACTCTGTAACTATGTTAAAACCACCATTGTCCTCATGGTGAAAATCCCTGAGCAGTTTCCTTCCTCTCCGGCAACTGCGTTAGGAAGGACGCCTGTATCTTTGTAGTGACACAGCATCAAAAGCCTAATTAATAACTTCACCATGCTCAAAGGGATATTCAGCGTCTGCTTTTTTTATTTTTGCACATCTACCAATCGGTGCCCTTCTTTGTGAGGCATTGAAAAACCTCCCTGGTCTTTGTGGTTGAATCTGTGCTTGGAATTCACTACACTCTTAGAAGAAAAGTTGCTATCTAGAACCTTAAAGGGTTCTTCGGCTGTCCCCATAGGTTCAGGTGGGTGCCCTTTTTTTCATTTTGAGCACCTGCCCCCTGAAAGGTCTGTGCACGGCCCTGCTGTACATAGCCTGGTACAGAATGACAGAAACATAACCTGGCAACAGAATGAGCATTGTCTACTGTTTGTAAGACAGACAAATCCTCACACCTTGCAGTAAATGACATAACTAATATTTCAGATAAGGTGACAAAGAAGTCGTGAAGAGGGCACAACAACGCCTTTTCCCCCTCAGGAGAATGAAAAGATTTGGCATGGGTCCCCAGATCCTCAAAAAGTTATACAGCTGCACCATCGAGAGCATCCTGACCGGTTGCATCACCGCCTGGTATGGCAACTGCTCGGCATCTGACTGTAAGATGCTACAGAGGGTAGTGCGTATGGCCCAGTACATCCCTGGGGCCAAGCTTCCTGCCATCCAGGACCTATATACTATCCAGGACCTATATACTAGGCGATGTCAGAGGAAGGCCCAAAACATTGTCAAAGACTCCAGTCACCCAAGTCATACACTGTTCTCTCTGCTACCACAAGGCAGGCAGTACCGGCGTGCCAAGTCTAGGTCCAAAAGGCTCCTTAACAGCTTCTACCCCCAAGCCATAAGACTGCTGATCAATTCATAAAATGGCCACCCAGACTATTTACATTGACCCCCCCCCCCTCTCTATTTTCTTAAAACTGCATTGTTGGTTAAGGGCTTGTAAGTAAGCATTTCACAGTAAGGTCTACACCTGTTGTATTCAGCGCATGTGACAAATACAATTTGATTTGATAAAACAACCACAATGGTTAAATGTCACAATTTTGACATACTAAGACCATGTTGCCAAAGAGCATTGGTGAACTGTCATCACTCAAACAGTCTTTTTATACAGTCTTTTTCTGTTGCAACTGAGAATGAGTGGCGTTGATAGATGTGAACTCGCTTATTGGTCCAGTTTGGTACCACGTGAAGTGTGATTCACCACCTGCACTTGTTACACACTCCTTTCTTTCTGTCCACAGACAATGTTGTGAACATTGAGGTGAAGGAGGAAAAGATGTGCCCTCGTTTCCCTGAGCCAGTACTCCTGGAACACCCCATCCCTGCGCTTAAGGAAGCATTAGAAAAGGTCAACAATAACATTTGAATCGTGAGATCATGAATTGAATTTTATTGATAACCAAACGTGAATTAGACAAGCACTAGACTAGATATACAGACATGTATAGCGGCCTATTTGGCATTGACTTGACTTGACTTTCTCAAACATGACAGATTTGCCCTGTGTCATTGTTCTTCACGAGATGACATTTTTTCCCATACAGATAGATGTTGTCCTAAGGTTAAGTATTCATGAATCTAGACTACCAGCTCTGTCTGCCATCATTGTCTTCAATGACTCTGTGTTGTGGAATGGAAACTTTGGCAGAAGGAATGGGAGTGATCCCTCCTCGCCTCCACCCAACGAATACACAGTGTACAGGTGAGCTCTGCTCTGCTCTGTTGTTAAATCATTTGTTAGAAGCATGTTAGATGAGATTTACATGATTTCTGTGACAGATTTGTATCTATTTCCAGAGGCTGGGTCAGGTTGACAATGAGAATATTGGGGGATTTGCCACAAATGTGAATGGTTGCAGGAGTAATAACACTCGACAATTGTTTTCTCCACAGAATCGCTAGTCTCTCGAAGATCTTCCCCACACTGATGCTGTACAAGCTATGGGAGGAGGGGAAGGTGGCCTCCTTGGATGACCCTCTGGAGAAGTATGCAGCAAACTTCACCATCAAGAACCCGCTGGGGAAGCGGCGGGAAGTTGTGGATGTCAAGGCTGGTTCTGACAGAGATACCCAGCCACGCTCTCCCTCTGTCACCCTTCGCAGGATGGCCAGTCAGCTCTCTGGTAAAGGCACTCTTCCTCTTCATGAATGTACATTAACCTTAGCTTACCCTGGCCATTACGTGAATGGAGAGAGAGGCTATACTTAGACAGAGACTTGTCCCTAAAGATGGAGGTAATGTGCTTCTGGCCTATTAGCCTTTTCTCCAGACCAGATCCTTCTGACTGTGCTGTAATGTAATGTACTGTACTCTCATTGGATTAAACCTGAGGAAAGCCCTACGTGATAAACTAAGTTCCCTTGTACATTCCTTTGACTCCAGAACATTTGACATTCTTTTGACTTCAGAATTTGTTTCGTCTTCAGGGTTACCCAGGCGGCTTCGGGCAACAAATCTACTCTGGGATGGAGACACAGAGGCTGCTATAGAGCTGTTACAGGATGATGTCCTAGTGGCAGACCCAGGCACCAAGTAAGATGCTCCTCATTCCCCTTCCTGCCAAGAGCTTTTCCAGTAAATTTTGGTAAAGGGTGATGGTGATTTAATGACATGGGGCGGCAGGTACCCTAGTGGTTAAGAGCGTTGGGCCAGTAACCGAAAGGTTGCTGGTTTGAATCACCGAGTCTACTAAGTGAAAAATCTGTTGATGTGTCATTGAGCAAGGCACTTAACCCTAATTGCTCCTGTAAGTGGCTCTGGATAAGAGTGTCTGCTAAAATGACATATGTAAAAATCACCAATATTTCCTCTCGCTCCCCTAGATGTCACTACAGCAACGTGGCCTTCTCTTTATTGGCTAACGTCTTGGCCGAGAACTTTGCGAAATCTGACTACGAAAGCTGGGTGTCCGACAACATCCTGGAGCAGCTGGGGATGGAGGACACAGGCTTTGATATCACCCCAGCCATTCAGAGCCAGATGGCGGTGGGCGTGTACAGCAGTGGCCAATCGGCACCCCTCTACGACCTGGGCTGGTATCGGCCCGCTGGCCAGATGTACTCCACGGTGGCCGACATGGCCAAACTGGCCATGGTGCTTCTGGGGGCCTACAGCCGACCCCTCCTCCAACAGGACACCCTGAAGACCCTGCTGACCCCTCTGTTCCGCTGCCACCAGGGCTACTTTGCCAACTACACCGGCACACCCTGGGAGGTCAACGAGCAGCTGGGCTACGAGGTGGTTCGTAAGGACGGAGACCTGGACGGCTACGCCACCACCTTCTCCCTGGTTCCCCGGCTGAAGCTGGGCCTGGTGGTGCTGATGGCCGGGGTGAGGCCACCAGCAATGGATGGGGATCTGGTCACCCAGGCCTACAGCCATCTCATCCCAGCCATGGAGAGCGCCTTCAGGGACGCACAGCGCAAGCTCTCGCCACCGCCCGACCCCACGCCCTATGTGGGCCTCTTCACCTACCAGAACATGACCTTCTATGAAATAAAGGCGAGCTTGGGCGGGGTGTTGGTCATGCAGCAGTTTGGGCCCCAGGTGGACACCATGGTGCCGGCCAAGTACAGGACTATCAGGCTTGACTTCCTGCAGGAGAGGGTGTTCAGGGTGGTGTTCGAGGGGGAGTACCCCTGCAAGCTGAAGGTCAACAGCATGTCAGTGTCTCTGGAGACCCAGGACAGGCAACTCTTTAACTTCTATTATTTCAACAAGAAGGGCGTGTCGCCTGGATTCGACTCCCCTGGACTCAACACTTACAAAGTGCTCCGGATAGCTCGACGGCCAATCTTCAACAGTTAAACCCTGAACTGTTTTTATGGTATGGAATCACAGATGGAATTCTGGATTTGAAGTGGATCACTTCAGAGCCTGAACAGTTTGCAGAGACTTTCAAATGCCTGTTTTTGAATGTGTATGAGGTGACATGAATGAGTAAATGTTTGTTTTTCCTACAGTGAATGTCAGAGGGCCTTGTTATTGTTTTCCGGAAAGTAGTGCAGTTGTAAGTAATTTTATAATGATCTTATCTTCAATATCAATTGTCTTCCATGCAAATATCATGTTGTGTCTCGCATGAAGTTCTTCTTCTTGAATGATCCATCATTAAGATTTCATGAAGGTTAAATTAAATGGGTGTGCGTTATATTGTTTGTTGTTATACTGTGGTGACACATTCTTTCTGATATACTTGTTATCTTCTTACTTCAATGATAGAAGCTGCCGTCACTATGACAGTTATTTGTCTCACAACAAAATATGATTGTTTTGAAAATTATATAAGCTAATGTCCACTTTTCTCACTTTTAATTAATTTAAGTGCCTCAAATGACTTTGGAAAAGAAAATCCTGTTGTCTAAATGTTTTGGCTCCACAGGTTAGAGGGCAAGTGCAGAGCTCCCTGGCCTAAAGGAAAACTCCACCCAAAAACTATATTTTGGTATTTGTTTCATTAGTCCATTGTTGATATAGTCCCAACATGTTTTGCATGTCAGTAATCAAGTTTTCAAGATATGTAACTTTCAAAATACAGTAATACTGCCGGTATGATGCATTTCGCATCATATGATGCTGTGTTTTGCTTCATACAAAAATGAGTATAGGTATGCATATATAAAAAATAAAAAATAAAAAAATAAAATAAAAATAAAAAAAAATCATTTTATTGTAGTGAAACAAAATTCAAAGATACTTTGTTTGTCCTTAGACTATGGTTCAATTTAGATTTCCATCACAGCAAGGATTTTTATGTGCATACAATACAGTAGAAAGACAATAATCAACTCAATAAGTGTTAATGCCAAATGGGTTGAGGGAGATTAAAGTGTTTAAAGTGAAGAAGTGCTTGATACCATACTCTGAGTGTGAGACAATAGAAGCCAGGACACTCTGTGAACATACAACTGTGCTTGCTTTACCTGCCATATCAACATTTGACCAGATAAGCTATAGGCTGTGGAACACAGGAGGCTGCTGAGGGGAGGACAGCTCATAATAATGGCTGGAATGGAATGGAATCAACCACATGGAAAACATGTTTGATTTGTTCGATACAATTCCATTTATTCTATTTCAGCAATTACTAATCTATTTCAGCACCCAATTAAGGTGCCACCAGCCACTTGTGCTGTGGAAGTGCAAATGTTGACTCATGATAACACTGTAATTTGTCAAGCAAAGGGTATTGATTTCTGATATTTCTCAGCAAATGCTTTTGGAAAGAAAAATATCAAATATTTTGTCAATTTTAGGTAATAAAGCAAAAGGAAGGACGCCAACTTGTGGTTTAGAGACCTATTTAGTTAGATGTAATGTCGCTTACAAATCGATCTCCGCAGATCGAAATGGCTTGCATTGAGTGATAGCCCTGTTTCACGGACACAGTAGTATTGTTTCTAAACCTTTCCATCAACTCCTGGCTGAACCCTACATCACAGCCACTGACAAAGCACATGCCCGCAATCGTTACATCATAGCGCAGCAGGAGAGAGTGGTTTCATCAAGGTAGCACATTTACAGTGGCTTGCAAAAGTATTCACCCCCTTGGCATTTTTCCTATTTTGTTGCCTTACAACCTGGAATTAAAATGGATTTTTGGGGGGTTTGTATCATTTGATTTACACAACATGCCTACCACTTTGAAGATGCAAAATACTTTTTTTGTGTGAAAAATAAGACAATAAGACAAAAAAACAGAAAACTTGAGCGTGCATAACTATTCACCCCCCCAAAGTCAATACTTTGTAGAGCCACCTTTTGCAGCAATTACAGCTGCAAGTATCTTGGGGTATGTCTCTATAAGCTTGGCACATCTAGCCACTGGGATTTTTGCCCATTCTTCAAGGCAAATCTGCTCCAGCTCTTTCAAGTTGGATGGGTTCCGCTGGTGTACAGCAATCTTTAAGTCATACCACAGATTCTCAATTGGATTGTTTCTCCTTAAACCACTCGAGTGTTGCTTTAGCAGTATGCTTAGGGTCATTGTCCTGCTGGAAGGTGAACCTCCGTCCCCGTCTCAAATCTCTGGACGACTGAAACAGGTTTCCCTCAAGAATTTCCCTGTATTTAGCGCCATCCATCATTCCTTAAATTCTGACCAGTTTCCCAGTCCCTGCCGATGAAAAACATCCCCACAGCATGATGCTGCCACCACCATGCTTCACTGTGGGGATGGTGTTCTCGGGGTGATGAGAGGTGTTGGGTTTGCGCCAGATATAGCGTTTTCCTTGATGGCCAAAAAGCTCAATTTTAGTCTCATCTGACCAGAGTACCTTCTTCCATATGTTTGGGGAGTCTCCCACATTGCTTTTGGCGAACACCAAACGTGTTTGCTTATTTTCTTTTTTAAGCAATGGCTTTTTTCTGGCCACTCTTCCGTAAAGCCCAGCTCTGTGGAGTGTACGGCTTAAAGCGTTCCTATGGACAGATTCTCCAATCTCTGCTGTGGAGCTTTGCAGCTCCTTCAGGGTTATCTTTGGTCTCTTTGTTGCCTCTCTGATTAATGCCCTCCTTGCCTGGTCCGTGAGTTTTGGTGGCGGCCCTCTCTTGGCAGGTTTGTGGTAGTGCCATATTCTTTCAATTTTTTAAATAATGGATCTAATAGTGCTCCGTGGGGTGTTCAAAGTTTCGGATATTTTTTTATAACCCAACCCTGATCTGTACTTCTCCACAACTTTGTTCCTGACCTGTTTGGAGAGCTCCTTGGTCTTCATGGTGCAGCTTGCTTGGTGGTGCCCCTTGCTTAGTGGTGTTGCAGACTCTGGGGCCTTTCAGAACAGGTGTATATATACTGAGATCATGTGACTGATCATATGACACTTAGATTGCACACAGGTGGACTTTAATTAACTAATTATGTGACTTGTGAAGGTAATTGGTTGCACAATATCTTATTTAGGGGCTTCATAGCAAAGGGGGTGAATACATATGCACGCACCATTTTTTGTTATTTATTCTTTTTTTTTAAAATTGAAACAAGTTATTTTTTTCATTTCACTTCACCAATTTGGACTATTTTGTGTATGTCCATTACATGAAATTCACATAAAAATCCATTTAAATTACAGGTTGTAATGCAACAAAATAGGAAAAACGCCAAGGGGGATGAATACTTTTGCAAGGCACTGTATAGCCATTAATCTAAAATAATTCATAGATTTTAAACAAAAAACAATCTGTCATAGACGGACAATATTAATATGAGATGAAAGGCGAGTTCCTAACTAGTTCAGGAAGCCAAGCTAGAGCTCTGTGATACATTCACAGCGATGGGGGCAGACGTTTTGATGGAGAGACCTTTAGAAAATATGCAAATGTATTAACACTAAACATACAAATATATTTTACTGTTATAAGGAAGGTGAAATCTTATAGTTAGTCGTTTTATAATTTGATTATGCTATATTTAGAAAAGCATATAAGTCATTTCAAGCCTTATTCATACAGTTTTGTTGAATAGGAAATACATCATATAAAATATTTCATATTTTTATCATATTTGTACTGTCTACTTGAGCTTGTGTCCTCAAAAGTGACTACAACTCAGCAATATCTAAAAAATGTTTGCCAGAAAGGTGAGATTTTAACCTTTCTTTGAGTATGCAGCGTTACAAGTTACTGTTTATGGCCCTCTCATGATAAATAATTACTTTTGGGGATTTCGTAGATTACGTTTTCGATTACACTTAGTTACATTTAACTGGTTCAAGATTTGCCTTTACCTTTAGTTATTTTAAACTTGTCCCAGGTAAACCTTTTAATCCTCTCAATCACCCGATTTGACCCATGTGACCCAAGGAGAAGTTAGCAGTAAGGCCACCTATTACAAATGTACTCGATATTGTGGGTAAACCTATTGGAAACTGTTCACTTCAAGTGAGAATGGGAAAAGACAACTATGTTTTAAGCTGACTCAAGTTTCACTACCATGTTTGTGTCTGTCATATTTGTCTGAATGACTGAATCACTGTAAAAATAACAAAACCCTATTGAGTTGGTGGTTTACTAAGGGAACTGATTAAAAACTTAGCCTAATAAAATCAAAGTTTAATACACCATTTAAATCTCAATGTTCCATAATGATGCTAAACAGAACCAGAAAGTTAGGGCCCTATTCAATCCGTATCGTGGAATATCAATGTTACTGCGTTAGTGAAAACTGCATTCACCGTAAATGCTGCATATGTCAGCTCAATGGAAAATTACCTTTACATTTCTATCGAGCAATTTGTAATGCTTGAGCGATACAGATTGAATAGAGCCCTCGTTAATCTTTCTGAAATGGACACTTCTTTGTTATTTATGAACACAGCGTACAGTAAATTATGTATTATATAGAGACAAGAAAAATATCAGAGGGTTCATTAACCCAAGAAAACATAATAACTGATACCTCTCTTGGCTTCTATTATTGTTTTGTGACAGTAGGAAGAGTACCAGGTTCTTTATGGCACCATATAGACCTAATAACCTGCTATTTATTAACTAGAGATAACATGCTGTAGTTATTACCAAACATATCCTTTTTGAGCCCGGATGGAGCGCAGTCAACAAACTGTTTGTTTTTTATCAAGAGAGAAACCCAGACAGAGAAACAGAACATAGTGTATCACAGAGAAAAAGAAAAGATGAAGACTGACATCTCTATTGTCCTGCTCCTCGTGGCTTTTTGACAGATGTCTAATGCTGTTCTTGTCGAGATAAGTATCAATCAGTACCTTGGGAAAAACAGAGCTTTTATGAATATGTACTTGAATGAGTTTGGATTCCTGGTGCATCCACCCCATAGTTTATCTAACTTT